AAAATACAATCCTCTAGGGTAGGCACTATACCATACATGATGGATCTGATCAACTTATTGAGTGAAAAATAAATTTGAAAAATTTGGTCAATTGGAGTGACGAAAGTCATTTGTCAAAATGAGGTCAACGTCCGAATGGATTGATCACTTTTGATCGATACAAGAACTTGCAAAAATGCACGGGTTTGACCTTGACGAACTTCCTATAGAAGAGATTGGAATTCGTTTTGACAACTTTTCTCAGTGAAGCACAGGTCAAAAACTCCAACTGATCAAATGGCTGGATGCAATGGATGTTTTTCTCAAAATCGACTAGGTTTTCCATTTTGAAATTCGACATTGAAATCCTAATTGGTCAAATGGGTTGAATGAAATTGACAATTTATTTAAAATCGACCGATTACCCTAAAAAGGGAAACTAGTCAAATGAATTGAGTGGAATTTAATAACTTACTCAAAATGGACCAAATCATCCTAAAAAAGGAACTTGATCGAATGAAATTGAGAATTTTATTCAACATGGACCGGATCATCCTAAAAAATGACATTAGTTAAATGAATTGAATGAAATCGAGAATTTATTCAAAATTGACCAGATCGCCTTAAAAGGGCAAACTGGTCAAATGAATCGGATGAAATTGATGATTTATCGAAAATCGACAAAATTGCCCTAACTAATCAAAGGAATTGAATGACATTGGTGATTTCTTCAAAAATCGACTAGATTGCCCTAAAAATGGGTGAATTAGCCAAATGAAATGAAGATTTATTCAAAAATCGACCGGATGACCCTAAAAATAGGTAAATTGGTCAAATGGATCGGATGATTTATTCAAAATTGATTAGATCACCCTAAAAGGGTAAACTTGGTCAAATGAAATTGAACGAATCTGATGATTTGAATTTATTCAAAATCGATTGAGTAGACCTAAGAATGGGTAAACTAATCAAATGAATTGAATGAAATTGGTGACCTTATTTAAAAATCGACTAGATTGCCCTAAAATGGATAAACTAGTCAAATGAATTCAAAATCGACTAGGTTGCCCTAAAAAATGAACAAATTGATAAAATAGACTGGATGAAATTGAGGAATCAAATGATCCAATGGACTGAATGGCTTGATGCATTAGTTTATGAGCCTTCTAAAATCAAAGTTTGGCCTTAGTTTATTTATCGTCTCATCAGTGAGAAAATATTGGTGAATGTTCCAATTAATGTCCTTTTTGCAAAGGATTTTTACCAATTTGATAAAATGGCCAAAAGGTGATTGTTAGACGCTCATATTCCAAAGATCGCTTTATAAAAATGATCGACCCTACCTTACCTTGTGCGCTACCCCTTTGGATGGTACAAAATGTAAACGTGCAAGTCTCCTTGGATTAAGTATCCGAGACACAAGGTGGCTTATTCCTAACACGGGATCCCCTAAATGGCATTCCCTTCTATGGTTTATGCGTGATGCCAGTTTATTAAAGCGATAAAACATGCAATTTGAAATGGAAACGTGACCTAAGGAGCCCTTCATTTGCCAGGGTTGGCCTAAAATGGTATGACATTATTAATTTATGAACAAAATATACCATAATTTTCAAACGTGCAATAACCTATCTACAAGGTAGGTCCTAAAAGAGGATCATGCCAGACCTCTTATTTCCTAACATTTGTGAATGCAAAAGATAAGAAACAAGGAAACGTTAGTTCAACACATAATCACATAACACGTTGGACAATTAGATGATACAAAAGCAACAAAGAAATAAGGAAAGAGGGTGGGATCCCTCCCTCGTGCATGGTGTCCCTAATAGGGTAAGGTCGACTCTACCCTAGGCAATTCTAAAATGGATGCATGAGGTTTGGCTCACTAATGCATCTAGACTCGATAAACTCAGGTCCCCGAGCCTTCAGACTTGGAAACCAAAGGTCATCACTCCGAAGGTTCCTTGTCGGTGGCTCGAGCGATTCCCCAGACGTTGCTACGCACACGTCGTGTCACGGCTACCCGTCTGGGCGAATCTAAAAAGAATCCTCAACCTTCGACTAAAAACTAATAGGTCATCAACCTAAAGTTTAAAGCGGAAGATCGAGTGACCCCTCGGATCATGCTACGCACACGTCGTGTCACGATCACATGTCCAAGTGGGTCGCCTAAAATCCTAATAGGGTGGAGTGGCGTGACAAGCCACTAAAAGAAAAATAAAAGAGGGATAAATAAATAAAACGGATGCACGTATGCTAGTGCTCGTTTGGAGGGGAGGGATCGAAAACCAACGTGAGGCTCTAAGGTGATGTCCCTCACCCAAATGCAATGCAAGCGCGAGATAAATGAGTAAACATACATCCCATCAGCCAATCATACATTCGTGAGTGAGGGAATAATTAATACGCGCGAAATGCAAAAATCCTAAAAAGGAAAATGCAACCCTAAAACACCCAAATGTGATATATGAAAAGGTTAAAAGAAGAAAAAGGTTGATTAAATCAAATTTGCTCGGACCTCAAATGTCCCCAGTGGAGTCGCCAACTGTCGGCCCATTTTTTGAATAAATAAATAAATAGGTTTAAAAATGTATTTTTTTTTATTCAATTTGGGATTGGAAAATGAATTGTGATTTAAAAGAAAAATGGGTCTAAATGGGGGTTTGAGAATGCGACGATTTGACCCAAAATTATAGTTTAAAAAGGGTTTTTGAAATAAAAAATTGGAGTCGCCACTTGGTAATGAGTTAAGGTGTACCTAGTCACCTAAAAATGAATTTTTAAAGAAAAAATAGGAAAAAGTAGCAAGAAACCCCTTTTAAACGACTCCTAGTCTACGTAAACCAACGAAAAAGGTTCGGGAGTCACATTTGACGAAGAGGAAGGCAAGGATAAAAATCCAAGGCACCCCTTCGACCTAGCCAAGGCTAGTTGCGTGATTTAATCAAAGATTTTCTTGTTTTAACCAAAGAATTTATTACATTTTGGATGTACTACATGAATGCAAAAACCTAGACCTAGGGGACATGGGGAAAATTTCTCTTCAAAGGTTGAGTGGTGCCAATCACATTAATTGTGAAGCCCAATAATGACCCTTTGGAGATGTCACACATAATCCTAAATGACGTAAAAAATGAGTGAAATGAATGCATGCCATGTGAAAATGTGAGTTTGTGTGAAGTGAAAAAGTGATAAAAACAAGAGTGTATAAGTGGAAGTGTGCAAATGGGTGTACAAGATAAGGTGAGTAAAGTAATAATGTGAAAATGTATGAGGGATGCAAAAATGCCAATAAAGAAAGTAAGTGCAAGTGTGCTAAGGTGATAAAAGTGCACGTGTGCACATGTAAGGAAAGTGTACGTGTGCCAAGTGGGAAAGTAAGAGTGTTTGTATGCAAATAGATGAAAATAGGGTATGATAGTAGTAAATAAGTGCAATGTGTGAGACATGTCATTTGAATTTGAAAAAGGTATAAGGAGTGAAAAAATGTGGATAAAAAGGTGAGGAAATGGTATGAGAATGTATGAACCTAGAGGAATGCATCAAGTCGGGTACGGGGACTCCTAACTTTGTGACTTTAATTTTCCCTTTGATTAGAAAGGAGAACTAGCGTGCTAAGGCTATTTTTGGAGCCACACTCGCTCGTTTCCCTTATCGAAAGGGGACTCGTCAAGCAAATGTCACTATAACTAGCATGAGATGCAAAAACCTAAAATGAAAGGGAAAGGATCGGAGGAACATACCAAATGCTAAAAAAACTAAGAAAAAATGCATGAAATGAAGTGAAACATGCAAGTATGGACTCACGAAAGAAAACCCTAAGGGTCTAGCGTTGGACTAGCCCATTCTATGAATTCCTACTAGCGTTGGACTAGTGGAAACGTACATTCATCCATCACATTCATTCATGGCTATGGAAAGCGAGTAGACATGCCAAACACTCGTAAACACGTAGCACATAACACTTAGCATGCTCGACTAGATGCAAGAGCCTAATAAAGCAAATTAACACATAGCAACCAAAAGCAAGTAATCGAACTAATGGATCTATTACATTTGCTAGCTAGGCACACGTTTCAGTAGGTCTTCGTCAAATGCTCCTCCAAGCCCTATCTATTACAAGCCAAGAGGTGTACACATACCCCATAAATAAAAGAATGACTTAATAAAAGCAAATGTAAATGAAATGAAAAAAAAGCAAGGAAAGCAAGTAAAGTAGGCATGCAATTCACATTTAGCACGTTGGATCACGTAGGAGAGACGAAAAGGGATAAAAGAAATTATACCGCCCCCTTCATGACGTTGATAGAGTAAAAGGACTCAATTTGGACTAGGGTCACCAAAAAAGGGATAACTTAGGCTAAAACCATCAAAGCAAAGGATTAATGCACCAATTTAGTGGTAAAACATATATAAACCAACTTGATTCCACCAACATCGAATCCTTGTTCAATTGCAATTAATTAAAGAAATGCATAATGACCAAGGAAAAATGGAATAACTCATCAAAATTCCAAATATAGCAACTAATGGGAGCTCAAAACGACCTTTAACCAATCATTCAAGTCAAAATGCAATGCTTAAAAACTTCAAAGGTCCAAAAAGCCAAATAACGAGTCAAATTACAATCAACTTAGGATTCAATTGCAAGAGATTGGAATGTAATTGGGTCCTTGTGACATTGCTGCAAAATCATAGGGACCAAATTGATTAATTTTCTCAATTTTCTGGTCATAGTGTCATAAAGGGAAACTTGAGGGGTTAAAGGACAATTTCCTTTGGTTTTTCATGCATGCATACGTAAAAGAAGGGTTCTCTTCCTGCAACATTTCTGCCGTGAATTCCTTTCCAGCTTGTCATGCGAACATGCTCACCAAATGCCCAGATTCTCACTAACAATCATTGACTAATCATGCAACTTCATTGCAAGATTAAAACATGAATTGAAGCTAACCATCAAGGATACAGATTGAACAGCAAAAGAAGGAAAAAGGAAAAGATGCAGCGAGGTTTTCTGCAAGCTAGGAAGCTTTCGTCATCAAGGATGAATCAGGATTTTTCTCACCAGGCATCAAGAGCTTTAGATTAATGCAGAAGCCACGACAATACTGCAACCCAAACAATCAACAAACATAGAAACAATGCAAGCTCTTAAAATTTCATGCAGGTCTATGGACGAAATTGCTGCAACAACCTGCTGCAATTTTCAGTTAGCCCAAAAGTGATCGTGCGATGGGAAAGGAGAATGAACTAATGTGGGCTCGTGTGGACTTGGGATAGTGAGAAGGGAGAAATGCAGCTCTATGACATACAATTCCAACATCCCAACAAATCAAAACATAGAAGGAGAATCACACAAATGCTAGAGCAAGATTGCAGCAAGCCTTCGGCAACCAGAAATTTATTTTTAGCAAAGTGTTTGATCAGTAGTTCAAGCATTGTAAATCCCCAAACTTACAGATTCATCACCAAAACCTTCCTTTTCTTTCCCTTTAAACCAGATTAGCATGCCACTTAAGTGTAAGGGTCGATAAACAGCCACGGAAAAAGGAAGAAAACAGCGCAGGAAACGCGACAGCCTTTTTACTTTGCTGCAGATTTTTGCAGCTTCAGGCTTGCATGGATTAAATGCTAAAACATGATGTTAGACCCACCATTTATCTACCAAGCTCATACATAACTCCAAACATCAGTCTATCATTAGTCAAGCATGGCTATCTTCCCCCCCCCAAACTATTCCAAGAAATTCAGCCAAGGCAACGAGATAATAAAGAAAATGCAGCAGCTCCTCATTATTCAAACCAGAATATCCAAATTTCCATTGTTAACAACATCCGATGATAAGCATGATATGAGCAAGACTAAAACAGTAAAGATGACCCAAAACAGCACGAAACACCAGAGATTACATGCATCAAAAAGATACCATAGACATCAATAGCTCCCAGATGCAACTGAATGTAAAAAAAAAAAAAATGCAGCAGGGGGGCACGAGGAAACTCGCGGCTTGCGGCAACATGCCTACGGCATACCATCCCAGCCGAATACCCAAAAAAAACATAAACTTCAAACCAGTCAACATGAAACAGAGAGGGACCAAGTAACATTGGAAACAAAATGGCAAACACTGGACGCTGACTCCTCTATCATGTAAACATCAAGCATTGGTTTTTTTCTTTATCATATAGACATCATCCACAGCCACAAGACTGGACCTTTTACCCACATATAAGAAATAAACTCTTGGTGATCATAAAACAAAAGGGGCGGCAGAATAGACAATCAAAGCAGTGATCTTTCCATAAGCAAAATCACTAAACATTATTCAAAGAGATACTGGGATCTAAAGGGAAGGAACTACTTACAGTACTCAGGCTTTCTTGATGAAGATCCGCCTCTGCTGGTGGCGTGAAGGTGAGCAAATCCTTTGCTCAGGTTTGTTGCTTCAGGTTACAGCTTCCTCGGTTTTCCTCCCGTCTTCTTCCAAGTCTCAAGTTCTGGTTTTTCTTTCGTTTCCCTCAAACTCGCGGGTCTCCCGTTCCTTCCAGCTTTTCCAGTCTTTCTCTCCTCACCTCCCAGATTCTAACCGTCACCCTAGCTCTCTTTTCCTCAACTTTTACCTCTCTCAAAGCTCTAACCTTTTGCGCAGCCCCCCTGTTTTCTCTTCCGGACTCAGCCGTCACTCCCTTTGTTTCTTTTCTGGTTTCCTCTCCAGCCCACTCACCAAACCCCAGCCGTTAAAAGCCTTCAGATTTTTCTCACTCAGCCGTTATCTTCCCAAAAAACCCTCTCTCTCGCTCTCCTTGAAGTTTCCTTCCATCTCTCTGTAGCTTTTTCTGGTTTTCTACCGCTCTCTCGCTTCTCAGTTTTTCCTTAGCCGTCAACTCAAAAAACCTTCCCCTGCGGCTGATGCTCTCTTTTCTATTTATATCGGACTCCTCAACCCTAAAACCCAGTCCTTTCTTCTGTAATTTGCAGCCAAGGGACTACCCAGCCTTTCCTTGCAAGCTGCGACAAAACGCAGCTTGCATGCCGCAAAACCTCTTTTTTTTTTTTTTTTTTCCAACTTAATAATTTAACAAAAATAAAAGTAAAACTAAATAATAAAAACAACAATTTTAATTACAAATACATCAAAATAAACAAACTAAAACAACAAAATTGCCATTTTCAATTTTTTTCTTTCATTTTTCATTTTCATCATTTTTCACTTTTTTTCTTTTTTTTCTTTTTTTTCAAGAAAGCATTGAATTTAGATTACAAACGACTAAATCATATTTTTTTTGAATGCTTTTTCTTTTCTTTTTTTCCGTTTTTTCAACAAATTCTATGATAAAAACTTAAAAAATAAAAATAAAACTAGAAACTAAAAACTAAAAACTAAAAAATCGAATAAAACTAACACGACAAATAAAAAACTAAAAATAAACAGTAAATGAAATTACACCAAAAATTTGGTGTCTACAATCGGGACTGACCCGAGACCGGAAATTTAAAATTGGGACTGACCCGAAATAGGAAATTTAAAACGGGACTGATCCGAACTGAAAATTTAAAATCGGGACTGACTCGTGACAAGAAATTTAAAAACGGGACTGACACAAACAGAAAATTTAAAATCGGGACTGACCCAAAATAGAAAATTTAAAACGGGATTGATCCGAACAGGAAATTTAAAGTCGGGACTGACCCGAGACAGAAAATTTAAAATCGAGAAATTCCAATATACTTACCCGAAAATAGCCCAAAATTTTCAGTTGAGGTTAGGTTCTTGCCTCTGAACCGATGGTTGATTCTGTATTGCCATGTTATTGTACCTTTTGATTAAATTTGCTTGCAACACTTTCGATCCGCCTTTGTTCATTGGAGAACTCTTTCCGACAGCAATTCCAGTGCGAGGTGTGATTGTTTTTATCTGTGCATGCAATTTTCTGCAAAAGAGAAAAAACAAAGAAATCGCCACCATCATTTGGTCCGTTTTCCTTTGAGAATCGTGTAAATATGAGGTTTTTTTTTATTGCCTTTGTCAACTTTTGCTGTGACATTTTCCCAAGCTAACCATGTATATATTTGCCATATCACGAAACCTACGCGAACAGCTTTGCTGGATCTCAACTATTTTCAAAAGGAAACTGAATCCGAGTATGCTTCGAATAAATCATAGGGATTGTCATTCACCAAAATTCAAAGATTTAAAAAAAATGATGTAAGCAAGGTAATTTCACATGTAATACAGAAATGAACATGCAAAACAATGCAAACAAGACCGACTGTGCTCAAACCTATAAAATGCCACGACTACAAGCAATTGAGAAAAATGAGCTTCATAAGAAATGTATTTTGCAGAAAATATTTTTTTACAAAAATGACATAGCTTTCGGCCAACAGATGTCATATTTGAATCTCTGGATATCTTTGTTCTGGAATTCAACATTGGCAGAAGTATGACAAAAATGAGGAGAAATCCAAATGAACCAAGTCACCAGCTGTTCCTCCTTGTGTTCGCTCGCTGCAAAATCCTACCTTGGCACCCTTTCGGGTTTTCACCAAAGTTGACCCCACCCCTTTTTTTGCTTTTTTTTTGTTTTGTTTTTTTTTGTGTTTTTTTTTTCTCTTTTTCCTTTCTTCTTTTTCTCTTTTTTTTTCTTTTTTTTTTTTTTTTTTGAGGTGCCCTTTCGAGTTTTCAACTAAGGAACAATGGAAAAGCTCGACCATGATCAACTCAAGAGTGTGAGTTGAAGATTTCTGGCATCAGTAAAACGCTTCCCTTATAAATTTAAGTGAAGGCATTACGGACACCACTTGCCAGTTGATTAGCGAAATCCCTAATAGAAATACAGCAAGTGACGAAAGCTAGGACTTTTGGGCTTTTGTAATGAGGTTAGATGGGATGTTTTCAAGAAAGTTGAGGCTTGAAAGCAAAAAAATTTTTTTTTTAAATGAAAAGTGTGAAATAACCTGAGATTGCATCATTTTGAAATCATCTCCAATTTTGAACGACACTACGGAAAATTTGCCCCAGTTTGATTGGAATTTTTATTTCTTTGCATTTTTCATTGTATTTTCCTCACTTTTGCATTTTGCTTTTAAAAACTAAATTTGCCCCAGTGTGGGACTTTCCTTTTCTCTCTGATCATCTATTTTCAAAATAAAATTGCCCCTAGTGTGGGGCTTTTCTTTTCCTTTTTCTCTTTTGGATCATCTTTCTCTCAAAATAAATTTACCCCAGTATGGGGTTTGCAATTCTCAGGGGCTGTCAAACGAAAATTATTGTTCTGATAGCTCAAACGGGATGACTAGGGATGAAATGTTTTGATTGGAAAAGAAGATGGCCTGACTTTTGTTTTGTCACTTGCGTGACTTCTAAAAGAAATTTGCATAATCAAATAAAGAACTTCTTACACATGTCTGAGTTGATAGGTTGAGGGAATGTCTGTCCATCCATCTCGCCCAAAATGAGTGCTCCTCCAGATAATACCTTTTGAACAATAAATGGCCCTTGCCAATTTGGAGCAAATTTGCCTTTGGCCTCATCCTGCACTGGTAAAATTCATTTAAGTACTTTGTCGCCTTCCTCAAATGTACGCCGATGGACTTTCTTGTTGTAGCCCGGGCCATGCGTTTTTTGTAACATTGGCCATGACAAATAGCATTAAGCCGTTTTTCATCTATCAAGAACAGTTGTTCATAACGTTGCTTTAACCAATCAGTCTCTTCCAACTTGGTTTCCATTAGAATACATAACGAAGGGATTTCGACCTCAGCAGGTAGCACAGCTTCCATTCCGTACATAAGCGAGTAGGGGGTCGCTCCAGTTGAAGTTCGAATAGAAGTACGGTATGCCATTAGTGCATAAGGAAGCTTTTCATGCCAGTCACGATGCTTTTCAGTCATCTTACGAATGATTTTCTTCAAATTCTTGTTTGCGGCTTCCACAGCTTCGTTCATCTGCGGTCTATAGATGGCAGAGTTATCTGTAATCAATGTTTCTGGCACCCCAAATCGGCATAGGATGTGATCTCTTAAGAAATTTGCCACCATCTTCTTTGTCACGTGCTTGAATGATTCGGCTTCAACCCATTTGGTAAAGTATTCAATTGCAACCAATATAAATCGATGCCCATTTGAAGCAGGAGGATCAATTGTGTCAATCACGTCCATACCCACATTGAGCAGGGCCATGGGGCAATCATGCTATGCAATTCGGTGGGAGGAGCGCGTATAACATCGCCATGCACTTGACATTTAATACATCTCCGGACAAAGTCTATGCAATCGCACTCCATGGTAAGCCAGAAGTACCTGGTTCTCATGATTTTCTTTGCTAACAAATGTCCATTCATGTGAAGTCCACAAACACCACTATGCACCTCTTTCATCATGTATTAAGCTTCATCCTCATCGATGCACCTTAAGAGGTTCAAATCTGAGGTCTTTTTGTACAATACCTCCCCATTTAAGAAAAACTTCGAGGCCATTCTGCGCAGGAAACCCTTCTCGTTTGCACTAGCTTCCGGAGGTTAAGACCTGATTTTGATGAATTCCTTAATATCATTGTACCACGGGCATTTACCAGATATTTTGTCTATGACCCAACAATGAGCAGGCTTGTCCTGGAGTTGGATTCGGAGAGGCTCGATTCCTAGTTCGTCCGGATATTGTATCATAAAAGATAAAGTGGCCAAAGCATCGGCAAATACATTTCGGGCTCGCGGGAGATGTCTGAATTCCAAACTTTGAAATTGTCTAGCCAGAGTGAGCAAATTACAATCGTATGGCAAGATCTTGGAATCTTTGGTTATCCATTGCTTCAACGTTTGGTGCACAAGTAAATCTGAATCACTGAAAGCTATCAACTCTTTAACTTCCATTTCCAAAGTCATTTTAAGACCAAAATTACAGGCTTTATACTCAACCATATTGTTTGTGCAGGCAAATTGTAATTTAGCAGCCCCAGGGTAATGCTTCCTTTCTGGAGATACGAGAACTGCTCCTATTCCAGTTCCGAAAGAATTAGCGGCACCATCGAAAAACAACCTCCATTCAGGGCACAGCTCGCTCATATCTTCTACGGCACCCACAAGTAAAACCTCGTCATCGGGGAAATAAGTATGGAGCGGTTAATAGTCATCCTCGTTTGGATTTTCTGCCAAATGATCGGCTATAGCTTGTCTATTGACGGCCTTTTGCGAAGTGAAAACAATATCAAATTCCGAAAGAATCATCTGCTATTTGGCCAGACGCCCAGTTGGCATTGGCTTCTCCAAGAGGTATTTCAGAGGATCAGAGCGGGATATGAGATATGTAGTATGACTTAGCAGGTAGTGCCTCAACTTTTGAGCTACCCAGGCCAATGCACAGCAGCTTTTCTCAATAAATGAATAATTAGCCTCATACTGGGTGAATTTCTTGCTCAGATAGTAGATGGCTTGCTCTTTCCTTCCGGAATCATCGTGTTGCCCCAGAACACAACCTACTGCTCCGTCGAGCATGGATAAGTACATGATCAAAGGCCGGCCCGGCTTAGATGGCACTAGGATCGGATGGTGCAGCAAATAATCCTTAATTTTGTCAAAAGCTTGTTGGCACTCTTCATTCCAATGCAATGGCACATTCTTTTTCAACAACTTGAATAGTGGCTCGCACGTAGCGGTTAATTGGGCAATGAATCTTCCAATGAAATTAATTTTTTCCAAGAAACTTTTCGCATCTTTCTGCGTTTTTGGCACTGGCATGTCTCGAATTGCCTTGATCTTTGTCGGGTCTATCTCTATGCTCTTTTTACTGACAATGAATCCCAACAGTTTACCAGCTGGTGCTCCCAAGGCGCATTTCGCAGGATTTAGCTTCAAATTGTACTTCCGCAACCTGTCAAACAACTTTTTTAGATCAATCAAATGGTCCTCTGTTTTTCTGGATTTGATTATAATGTCATCCACATAAACCTCCATCTCCTGGTGGATCATATCATGAAACAAGGTAGTCATGGTCCTTTGATAAGTAGCTCCAACATTCTTTAAACCAAACGGCATTACTCGATAGCAGAATGTGCCCCAAGGGGTGATAAAAGCAGTTTTTTCCCTATCTTCTTCGGCCATTAAGATCTGATGATATCCAGCAAAACAATAACAAAAAGATTCAATTTCGTGTCCAGCAGTGTTGTCTAGAATAATGTGAATATTTGGCAAAGGAAAGTCATCTTTCGGACTGGCTTTATTAAGGTCCCTATAATCAACACAGACTCGTACTTCTCCATTCTTCTCAGAACAGGGACTGAATTTGAGAGCCAAACAGGATAATGAGATACAATGATAATATTAGTCTTAAGCTGCTTTTCAATTTGCTCTTTTATTTTGAGGCTCGTGTCTGGTTTGAATTTACGGGGCCTTTGCTTCACTGGTGGGAAAGTTGGGTCTATAGGTAATCTGTGTACCACTATATCGGTCGAAATGCCAGTCATATCGTCATAAGACTATGCAAATACATCTTGAAACATGGACAAAAATTCAATCATCTCCTTTTTCTGCTTTTCGTTCAAATGAATGCTGATTTGTATCTCCTTAACCTCAGTCTCAGTGCCAATGTTGACAATTTCTGTTTCTTCTAAGTTCGTTTAGGTTTCTCCTCATATTGTTCGAGATCTTTTGAGAAAAAATCATATACCTCCTCATTATCACTCTCGTCTTGCAATTCATATTGCATAATTTCCAAGTCGTGAGTGATATAGAGATTGTCATCATTGGGTTCCAGAACAGTGATATCCATAGGGTCAAATAATTATTTTTGGCCATCTGAAAGGATTAAGAAATTCAAGGCAATAAGCAAATAAAACACGCAAATAAACAAGTAAACGAACAATTGTGATAAAAACTACTTGTGCATTTTCATAAGCTTCAAATCAAAGTGAAACAAGACAAAAGTTTAATTGCTAAAGATGCTTTCATTAAACTATTTTCATATGCAAGAAACAGTTTTCATGAACTTTGGTAAATGACAACCCCCTGTAGATTTACCGAAACTCCTTTTGCACGGGAAAGCACTCGGCGGTCCAGTTGTGTATAGCTCCTTGGGGAATGTCTGGGAATTCGGCATCATCTGACGACAATCTTCGGATATTGCTCCCACAAACATATGAGTCAGGCTTGTCTCCACTTCATAAATTGGGCTAAACTCAGATGTAATTTCTTCAGCCGGCTTTGGAAAGGTATAGCGTAGTGGTGGAATGTCTAAAACACCTAACTTGCCTTCCTTTTCGGCCTTCTTGCGTGCTTTCATCTCTTTTATATCTCTAGCAGTCGGACGGAATCCCAAACCAAATAAGTCCTTCTTTTCGATGAGTTCCACGGGTTTCAGAATGCCTTGTAGATTGCACCCCAATCCCTTATCAAATTCATATCCTCCGCGAATCATTTCCTTGGCCATCATAACATTGGCCGCTGGCAAAACCATTTCGTCTTTTAAAGCCTCACTTGTTATCCAACTCACAGAGACAATGTCAGTTGTACGGTAAGAAGACACTGAAGCATTTCGGTTACCATTTTCCTTAGGCTCGGAATCGGCAATTACAATGCAATTTTCTTCAGTAAAAATGGTTAACAGCTGGTCGTTCACCACAAATTTCAATACTTGATACAAGGAAAAGGGCACAGCGCCAGAGCTATGAATCCACGGCCGCCCGAGTAAAACATTATAGACACTGGAAAAGTGCATAACTTGGCAGCCTATCTGAAATTGAGCGGGCCCCATTTCAACCACCAAATGTACTTCTCCTATGGACTCCCTTTAGGTTCCATCGAATCCTCGAACTACGGTTTCTGATGGTTTTAATTTGACATCTTGCAACCCTAACTTCACCAAAGTGCTCCAAGGACAAATATTGAGAACAGACCCATTGTCGATCAGTACTTTATGCAACATTTTCCCATTGCACCTCACAGCTACATATAAGGCTTTGTTATGACCAGTTCCTTCCACAGGCAGCTCTTCATCAGAAAAAGTGATTTGTTTAGCAGACATTTCTGACTATGTGCGAGAAATTGTCAACCGAAATATCCTTGAGAATCCGAGCCTTAGTCAAAACTTCAAGTAACGCATCCCTGTGCAAGTCAGAGGAGAAAAGCAAGTCTAAGATGGAAATTTGGGCAGGCATTTTGTTCAGCTATTCAACCACATTGTATTCGCTTCTCTTAAGCCTCTTGAGAAAATCCCATGCCTCTTTTTCAGTCACTGCAGCTTTGGTAGTTGGATCATGATTGCTTATTTTGACTGGGACGCCAGCAGTGGATGAGCTTGCGATTTTTCCTGACCTTGTGACAGCAGACACTTCTTCCTTCAAAACTTGTTTACTCCCGATTTGTAAAACGGGCTCACTGAAATTCCATGGTACCTGCTGTAAGCTGGAAACTGGCACTTGTTCTGGGAACTCAATTACCACAGGTTCTAAAGCCGCACTTTCGGATGGGGTTAGATCTAAAATGAAGGGCTTTTTGTCTTCCTCATATGATGCTTCCTCTATCACAAAAGGTTGATCCATTATCCCGAACACTTTGATTTCATTTGATCCATTATAACGAGAAATGTTTTAAGTTCGCTGTCCTGTTACTCTGTTCTTCTGGAATGAAGTGTTCAGGCAGCAACTTGATGCCCGAATTTGAACCAGATGGGTGCCGAATTTGGAAACGATTTCTTCTGTGATATTTTAACTCTATGAATGTATTTTCCAACGGCGTAAGCCATGCTCGATTTCGAGCTATAATGACTGAGTTGTGACTGAAGCAAGTGGACTGCTCTGTTTTGGAAAACCCTAATCTTTGGACTGGTTTGGAACAAAATCTTGGAGTGAACTTGTTAGTTGATGTTTTTGATATTAAACACTTACCAAAGATATTATGGGTGTATCTTAGACCCTTATTTCACAAATGAACCATGGTTGGATAACTTTCTTGGTTAGACGATTGGAAATTGGGAAATGCAAGTCAAAGGCAGATTGCCTTAGGATTTTTCTTGAACTTTGGTGGGCTAATTAACTACCTTGCCGAAGGTATTTTTTTTCCCCGAAATTCGATAGAGAGATACTTTCCATATAGTATTGAAATACTGCCAATTTTGGTGCCAATTCAAGTTCGTTTCGATACCCAATTGAATTACTAAAGTTAGAGGTTCAAATCTGGAAAATTCTCATC